TGTATGAAAGTTCAGCGTAAAATTCTCGCAAAAACAAACAATACTTCAAAATTGCATTGTTGCTTTTGTGAGACATAAAATTGTACACCTGTGCTTAATGTAATATACATTTTGCTTAATTTGATATACATTGCATAAAGAAGGAAATAGCACAAATATCAAGTAGAATGGGACAAAATAAGGAATTAATTCAAATCAATGATGGATAAACGATAGCAACTTAAGCACAAACCGTTCCAAATCGATTTTATTTAATTTGTCCCGCGAGGTCGTTTAGTATTTGTTAGTTTGTGAGTTGACAAATCAACGAAATTAACAAGCAGTTCGATCAATATAAAATGTAATCATATCTCACACTTTTTCCATTAACTCGTACCACTCTGCGCATTCTTTCTGTGCTCTTATAGCAATGTTGTCTTCGTATTTTCCAAATCTCTAACGGTATTGCTTAATTGATAATGGAATTATTTTTCTTTTTCCGACATTCTTTCTTTGTTTTCAATTACTCGCTATAAATTATGGTCTCGAAAATATTTTATTTCTGAAATTATTATTTTTTGAATATACTTATGAAGCATTAAAAAAGCTATTTTGGTATTTTTATAGGCATATTTGAATTGAAATTCGGTAGTTTTAAAAATCGTATATAAAATTGTTGTATTGGAACTAGAATAATTAATTAAATTCCAGTGTTTCTCATTTTGATCGAACTATACGAACTATTATAACTGGTATTATTCGAATACTCGTTATTAATTCGAAATGAAATTTGTCAGGAATTACTAGATGGATGAACCTTCTAAATTCGAAGGAATGACAAAAACAGAAGTTGATGAGAACTATATCAAAACTTTGGGTAAATCAAATTAAACAGTTTAGTCGAGCTTAATAGATTTAATGAGCCAACTTAATGAAGACTGTGTGCAGTACAAGAAGGAACTTATTTTTCCTGAATGAATTTAAGCTGTTCTTTGGGTAAATTAAATCTTAATACGATCAATTTAATATAATTTTTTAATTTGATATAAATTACATAAAGGAGGAAATGACTTACAGTTTATAAGAAATAAATTAATAAAAGTATCATCGGCTAAATGATAGCCTTTTCATGATATATGTGGTGAGAATATGCATTGATCAAATTTCAATAATACAGGATCGATTAAAATTTATTTTAGTGATTGCTTAAAATTTGAAATTGTTGTTCGGAATACTATAAAACGATTAATGTCATAACCAGGATAATTTTTGTAAAAAATTGCACAGTGTAATTTGATTTTTTGATACTACTGTTTTGGTTACTCGACTACAATTTTGATAGGAAGGGACAAATGCCACCGCATGATTTTGAATAAGATGAGTATTAAAATGAAGAAAGGATTTAATTTGACTGATATTTTTTTCAAAAAAAAAGTTTCCTTATATCACAAACTAAATAAAAGTATTACGTATTTATGACTTCCTTGAGCTGACTTAAGCTAAACATCTTAAGTAATGTTTCTCTCTGTTTATTTAAAAAATCCATAAAGCTTTCAGTTAAACTCGGATTGAATGAATAGAAGGAGCAGTGATGATCGGATATATTTAGTGGCGTTGAAATTTTATAATATCGATTTTAGAATTTGGTAAAGATAAAGTGAGTACCGTTGTCGGAACGTATTAATGTTGAAGTGAGCTATAATTTTGCGAGAGAAATAAACTATTGTTGTTGATGCAACCGTTTCACTATAAAGATTATATCCCACCTGAAAAGGACCTGATAAGAATTAGAAATAATTTTGCAGGAAAGCTAATTCGGGGTTGCAAGAAAATTTACCTATTAATTGAGAGTGACGAACAATTCCGACCAGTATTTTATAATGTCGCAGCCAATTCATATAATTGATCATGATTGTTGGCTAAATGCCTCAGCGAGCTTACACGTAGTTAAATATCTCAAATTTTAGTAATGAGAAAATAATAGAATTATTCTCCTTATAAATCAATTTGCGTCTAAAAATAGATACTCAGATTTAGTTTGCCCGAAATAAACCATCCATTTAAAAGGTATGCATTGTGAATTGAAAGGTCAAATACGTTGTAACAATGGAGAAAAAATTCGATGAGATTGAGGAAAGACCATAATTAATACTGTGGAGTTTTTTTGCAGGAATATCAAGTAATCATGGTGGCTTAGCATCTTCGAAAACATTTTCTTCACCATGGATCAACTTCTCTCAGGTTTACAGTTACTTAAATTATTTAATTGTTAAATTATTTGCAGAAACAAAATTGCGAAAGTTACGGAGAGACGAAACACAGTTAAATTCTAAAGATATATTGGATAATTTAAAAAATTACCGAGAAGATAAGGTTGGTGTCTTTTGATCACATAATCTTTGTTTTTCAAAATTTCAGTTCCCTTCAAACGTGGTTTTTCAGATTTTTAAGGTTTTCATTCTGAGAAAGATTGAATGTATCAGAATAATAGAATTAAGTTGCAAAATAGCTGTAATTCAAATATAAGTTAAGTAAGAGTAAAACGAGACAGTGCAGTGGAATATAATTAAATACTTCAAAGTGAAATGAGCACAAGATTTTTATTTACTTGTCTTTATTTAATTTTACTTTTTCTCTTGTCTTCCAGCTTTTCCGTTTGTTGACGACATCTGATCGTTGCTTCGAGGATAATTTTATCGACCAACCACTCGTTGCTTCATATTTACGACGCAAATTGGCACCACAAACGGTTGCTATATATCGGGGTGAACTTACTGCTTTGCTTGAAGCCGATCAAGTGGCATTACAAAATTTGAAAGTAGATTAAGAAAGAAGTTCAGTAAAGACGTTGATTGGAAATACTATTGAAAAAATCAAGACGGTAATTTTTACCTCGAGAATACAGATTTGTTCTAATATTTTGATGAATTGTGTTTTTTATAACGAAAAAAGACTACTTTGAATCTCTGTGATTGGTGTCAGTGCTTGAAAGATTTCAAGACTTGAAAGAATAAGATTTTAGGTTACGTGAATGGAAGAATGTCACTTAAAAAAATAGAGAAAAGTGGATTGGAATGAATTGGAAGGAGCGGAGCTTTATCCCTGTTTTATGTTGCAATACATATAGTTTACATCAATTATCAGGTGATTAAAAACAATGATGATGAACTTCTCGTTTTCTTTTTTTCTAAATTTTCTTTTGAATTAAATTTCAAATTTCAAAAAAGATTGAAATTTTAAAATTTTAATCTCTTTATATTTTTGCCAATACAGCACGTTCTTAAAGCTTTTGCCTCACAGTGTAAACTCTCAAATAATTATTTTGGCGAATCGATCCAAAATCAGGTACTGATCTTTTTGTTTGTTGGTACTGAGAATTTTTCAGATCATAGTGTTATTTGTGTTACATTATCCGGAAAAGTACATTGGACGGACAACACGGAACCAGCCGATTTAGTTGTTTTATTCAACGAAAGCCTAGATAATAATGAAAATCTGGAAATTGTCGCATCCGATTGTGCAAAACAAAGTGGCAGTGATGATATAGCTATCCTTGTGACATGGTTTACTTTTCTTTTAACTTAATATATTTAGATAATTAAAATAACGGAAAATGTTTTTTCTTTTGTTTTTTTGATATTTTATATTAAAATCAAATTTTCTTCTCAGCTGGGTACTATTTGATCAATTTTGGGCGCCAAAGCGTTATTTTGCCGCACTGTTTAGGGCGACAGCTAATTATAAATTTGTTTTAAGTGAGTTATTAATTATTTTATGATCTGATTTTCCAATTTGAAACTTATTTTTACCGTATTTTTATTCATTATTTCTGGACTTAATTTTCTAGACCAATAATTTAAAAAATTAACATTTTGCTTCTAATGTTTTTCGATCTACACCTTTCTTCTACTAATTCCTTTTTCTTATACTTGAAATATATTAAAATACGGTATTTTAATGAAACATTTTGTCAGCAAACGATTCTCGTTATGTGCAATTATTATTACATTTCAAATATTTCAGAGTACAAACTAGAACTTGATAATGTACCCTCTTATACACGTATAACAGCTGAAGCAGTTGTTGCCAATAATCGCCACTGTTGGCTCATATTTACCGCTTCGCGTGCTGCTCGTTTATTTGTTGTCCAGGTTTTAATTAATAAATAGCTTTTTGTTTCTGTAATTTTTTAAATACTATTTTCAATCTTGTGAATTTTATTTGATCAAAGTTGAAATTTCAGCCTGTATCACTGTCAGTTGAAGAAATTGATTCTGTTGGGGATATTTATCCAGAACTTGACTTGGGCGATCTACCAGGTTCTGCCATCAGGTAACTATTTGTTATTTTGGAGTTATTAACAATAACAATATTACTATTTGATGACAGTGATAATAGCAACTATAAAAAATGATGTTGGTTCTTAGCATTTTTAGATCAAATTGTCTTCAAACACCGACATATCGGTGGTCTGTACTTGGTTTTGATACAGGCTATGTGATTGTGACAGCATTGTCCATGCAAACAAATTTTATAGAGGACAGGTATTTATTATTTATATTAATTTAAATAATCTTTTACCATTTAATTTCTTCCATACTAATTTGTAGTCACAAGATTGATTTGATTTCTTTTTGTTTGATGTAATCATTTCCAGAAGTAAATTGAAATTTTCGGGTGCAATATCGGTTCTATTAATTTTACAACACGTTGGACGAGAAGATAAGATTTCGGTATTAGTATCTTCAACATTAGGACCAGCAGCTGTTTGGATGCTGTCTCTATCTCCAGATAAAAGTCATTTTGAATGGAAAAGAATAATGGTTTTGGAAGATACACGTGGCCGTGATGCTATTGTATGTTCTGCATCCGGTGATCAATTGATTGCCATTGGAGCATATAATGGTGTAAGTTTTGTTTTGTACTTTTAAGTGATTGAGCTAATATTTGAAAGAAATTAAATAGTTGGATAAATAAAAATAATCTTGTGACTTCACTTCCAATAACTTAGTGAATTGTAGATATTTTTGATGAGTGTTATGATGTCCTGCTATTTACTTATCATTACTTGCTCTCATATATTTGAAATTAATTGTATTTTTGCTTTTATGATTACCAATTTCAATTTCAAACCATTTCATTGATTGTTCAATTTAGGTCGTTTTGCTATATAAACGAACAGATCTTTTGTCCGACGACCATCACACAGCTCCTTGCTCAATTATTGAAATGCATGTGTCAGTGATATCAATGATTTTTCTTAAGGATGATGTATTAGCAGTTTTAACAACGAGTGGTTTACACATTATCGAATGTCATCAGTCAGACTGATAAATTTGCCGTTTTTATTGATCATTACTACTTATCTGTTCTATTTCAATTACCTTGGTAATTGTCGATCTAATTTAATAGACAGTTTTTAGAATTTTATCGGTTGTAATTTTTCGGATAACTCAATAGTGTCGTCGATCTCTTAATTATTTTGAAGTGTATGATGTATTAGCAGTTTTAACAACGAGTGGTTTACACATTATCGAATGCCATCAGTCAGACTGATAAATTTTTAGGATCTTTTTTGTTTGGAAGTTTTAGCTAATTAGAA